GATAGATAGATAGATAGATAGATAGATAGATAATGTTAGATGATATTAGATGATAGATCGATGGATGGATGGAGAGAGAGAGAGAGATGATAGGCAGGCAGGAAGGTAAGCAGAGATAGATAGATACGTACATAGATAAGACAGAGATAGACAGACGGACAGACAGACAGACGGAGAGAGAACGAGAGGAAAGTCGAGGGAAGCGGGACAGGAATCCCCCAACCGGGGCTCCAGGCTCCTCCCGGCGGTTTGTGACCTACGATACTGTTTGGGTGGGTGATTTATCCGGACAGTACATCCATTCCATTGGGTCTGAATTTGGACCCTTGGCAACAGAAGACTTGGGCTTACGACGCTCACGGGGGTACCCTCTGGCGACGGGACGTTCTTGGCAAGGAAGAACGGGGGACGCGATTCAGAACCATCGCGGGGGGAAGGTTTGTCCTCGACTGTTCGTTTTAGCGACCGTTTGAGCAACCGTTCGAAGACATCCATGGAGGGGAAAAAACGGGGGACAGAGCTTGTTTTTCCACACTTAGCGACCGTTGCGGGGTTCCCCCTGTGTCCAAAGGCAGACGCTTCATGCGATGGACTTGTATTTACAGTCGCAGTATCCCCGGGGTAGGGGGTGGGGATGAAGGTGGCTGTCATGGGATTCCCCGTTGGTAACTGTCCGATAGGGCAGAGTCCACACGGGAGGCCCTTAGAGGCCGGGCCGACTTGACAATTCAGCAGGGATTCCCTCAACGACGGCAGCGGGAATGGTCGTAAGACAGGACGAAATGGAGAAGTGAGAATGGTCATAAGAAAGGACAAAATGGAGAAGGGTTGATCTCGCTTAGCAACTGAATTTTTGGACTCCGTCGGGGTGGTAAGTTTAGGACTATCTGTAATTCTAGGCTCAATCGTGGTCGCCATTTTCCTCTCGATCGGCATAAGTTGAGGATCCCGGCGGGCTCCTTCCCGCCTCTCTCCCCCGTCCTAACCAGCCTCGCGCCCCATTTTTTGTGCTGTCCCACCCATCGTTCTGCCCAGGCGTGCAAAGTAGGGCAAGAGGCCCCGCCCCCCCCCCCCCCCCCCCCCGGGGCCCCCCCTCTTTCCCCCCGGGCCCGCCCCCCGGGTCTCCCCCGCGACGGGCTCCTCAGCCAGCGGCGGGTCCTGGACCAGCTGCATCAAGGCCTCCACCAGCGCCGCCCGGTTGGCAGGAAAGATGCTGACGTGGTCGCCAGGTTGGTACTGCAGCTCGGGCTGGCCGTCCGTCTGCAACCGCACCAACAGGGTAGACCGGCTGGTCGGGGAGGGAGGGCAAAGGCGTCAAAGGGAGAGGAGCGGCCGGGTTCCGACGGACGCCCCCCACCCCACCCCAATTCAGCGACAACGGCCACCTGGCTTCTAACGCACGTACAGGCAGGCGAAGGCCAGCCGGACGGCGCCTGCCAGAAGCCGAAAAGGACAATGGGCGATGGCTTGGCTGGCTGGCGTGACGGGAGAGAGAGACGGCTCTGGGTGCCGTTTCTGGAGTGCGCGCGCGCCATATGGCTCCCCCTCTGCCCTGGTTAATTCGTGAGCCGTGAGCCAAGTTTCATTATTCATGAGGAGCAGCAGGTCGGCATGTTCCCATGCGCCATTGGCTCTGCCCCCACGTAGTTGAGGGTTCACCTAAGACCCTGTTTCGGCGTCCTCCTCACAGGGCATGTCATTAAATCAGATACTCCGAGGGAGGCGCGTCATAAATCACATTCTCCAACTTGGAGGTGCGTCATAGATCACATTCTCCAATGGAAGTATGTCATAAATCACATTCTCCACCTTGGAGGTGCGTCATAAATCTCATTCTCCACCTTGGAGGTGCGTCATAAATCACCTTCTCCAATGGGAGTATGTCATAAATCACATTTTCCAACTTGGAGGTGCATCATAAATCACATTCTCCAATGAAGGTATGTCATAAATCACATTCTCCAATGATGGTATGTCATAAATCACATTCTCCAACTTGGAGGGGCGTCATAAATCACATTCTGGAAATGGAAATATGTCATAAATCACATTCTCCAATGGAAGTATGTCATAAATCACATTCTCCAATGAAGGTATGTCATAAATCTCATCCTCCAACTTGGAGGTGCGTCATAAATCACATTCTCCAATGAAGGTGTGTCATAAATCACATTCTCCAACTTGGAGATGCATCATAAATCACATTCTCCAACTTGGAGATGCGTCATAAATCACATTCTCCAATGGAAGTATGTCATAAATCACATTCTCCAACTTGGAGGTGCGTCATAAATCACATTCTCCAATGGAAGTATGTCATAAATCACATTCTCCAATGGAAGTATGTCATAAATCACATTCTCCACCTTGGAGGTGTGTCATAAATCACATTCTCCAATGGAAGTATGTCATAAATCACATTCTCCAATGGAAGTATGTCATAAATCACATTCTCCAACTTGGAGGTGCGTCATAAATCACATTCTCCAATGGAAGTATGTCATAAATCAGGGCGGCGCTCCCTGAAGGAGACTGCAGTGGGACTCTTTCTCCCTGAATGCCAGAGGGTGGACTACATGGCCTCAGGGGCCCCCTCTACTCGAGGCCTGTAGGTGAAATCCCGGTAACCCTCAATGATTCCAAAGTTTGCTGATAGACTGGTTATTTTTCCCCGTACAGAATAAAGGACCCTTTTTCACATTGATCCAGGATCTCCCGAGGACCAATTCAGACGTTTCGGCCGGCGACTCGGATTACGTCGCTCGCAAGGGGTCCCGGGTTCAACCTTCGGAGGAGCCAGGTTTTGCCTCGGCAACCGCGCGACTCATTGAAACCCATTGCAGGAATTTCCTTAACGACGGAGGGTGGGGGGAAAAAACTCATCGAAGAAATGTCTCTCGCTCAGTGGCCTTCGAGGGCGGGGCACCGTTGCAGTCGTTACGTCGTATGTTGAGTCGAGCTCAGCCGTCAGGAGAGGAAA